AAAAAGCTTTTTTAAAATGGAAAGTAATTCAACCATGATTTTATATAAACTTTTTTATACTGTACTGCAATATGTTATCTCCAATTTTGTCTATTCCAATAGATTCTGAAATCCTTCAGGGTAGTGCCAGATTTATTTATTTGGAATCAGGCAAATTGCTAAGCTTAATGACTCACACAGGCTTTCATGATTTTACAATGAGAGAACAAGTCTGAAGAAGGAAAGAACAGAAAAAAGCAATATTCAGAATTTTTTTTATGTATTTTGAATCATATTACTTAGCCCATTATCTGGAACTTAGCACAACTCTAGAATGTTCAGAGAATATGTGGTGGAGTAAATGTACAGATGGATGAGTGAGTTGATGAGTTGGATTATATGTTCTCTGAAATCTCTTTCTGCCTCTGAGATTCTGGGACTTTCACCTTACAAGCTATGGCTATTCCTTAATCATTTTGAAAAAAAAAAAAAAAATTGGCATAATCAGGAAAAAAATGGGAGTAAATTTAAATTCCAAAGCATTTTTTTCATGTGTTGGATAAATCAACCCTACTGTTTATTTCTGCAAGTTTGGTGGCACAACACGTTAAAGTGCAGCATTGCAAAGCTAGCCGCAGCTATTTCAGTGCAAGTTCAATCCCAGGCCAGGGAGGTAACCCACATGGCACAGCAGACCTCTCTCATCTTGCCTTCTGCTCCCCTCAGCAGTGTACTTTGTCAATCTGCCTGTTCTGCTCCCCACTCTGTCTCTGGTGAATCCTCTCACCGTCTCTGCATCTATCCAGGTACATAATAAATCTTAAAAAAAAATACTCTCATCAAATACTCTGGTAAGTATATTAGAATTCAAGTAACATAATGGAGTTAGAGGAATACCAATTAATACATGAGAATATAATGTACGAATTTGACTCACAAGTTTAGTGCACAATATAATATTTCAGGAGTTATTACACTGTATAATAAAATTTACATGAAGCTGAGTACTATATTACTTTAAAAATATCTTTGGGTAGGGTATATTTTCTTCAGTTCAATCCATCCCTACCACTTCTAAAATTCTGTCTTTTTAATTTGCCTGCCTGGCCTCTGAATATATTTGTAGTTGTTTCCCCTGGCTGCAGTATTAGACTCAGGGAGCCAAAATGGGAAGGATATTAGTTGTAAATCAGAAGTAGAGTACAGAGTTTAGAATCTAGATGATTTAAATGCTTTTTTTCTTCCTCTCTCCTAAATCATCTAACCATTTCTGGGCTCAGAAACTGGTTTAGATATTGGGGACCCAGCTGGATAACGTGAAGCCTCAGAGGGTAGGTCTAGACAATCTAGTGTGAGCAGGATGGACAAAGCATGGAGAGGGTGAAGGGGATGGGAGCCAATGTGGATGTAGGAAGACACAGAGGTAGGGACTGAGGGGAGACAGCTGTATGCTTCTCATTCTAGAGCATAAGATATGACCCAGACCACACTGCCAATGAATGAGATGACCATGTTAGAGGAGGAAGATTTTTTTTTTTTTAATGAGAAAGTATAATGTAACCCCAAGTAATCCTTTCCTAGGCTAAGGAAGAACCATGAGAAAGAAAAGAGGGCTCCTCACTAGACAATCCCCATAATGAAGAAACTTCTCCAGTGAGGTCCCCGAAAGCACTCATCTTTAAAAAGTTTTTGGATCAAAAGAAGGAGATGATCAATTTTTAGAGCCAGCTTCTGTGTTAAGTTTTTCTCCAGTTCTCCATCAATGATCACTCCCTGATGAGTTTGCTGTAATTTAGACAATTCTCAGGATTCATTCAAACAAGCCAGTGGTGTTCAAAGTTAAACGAGCATGGGAATCACTTAGAGTGCTGGTTAAACCACAAGTCATAGATTTCTGTCTCAGTATCAGGCAGGGCCTGGTAGTGGGTATTTCTGACATAGCCCAGGATTTCATTGGTGCAGCTGGTCCCGGCATCACACTTACTTTTTGCCTTCATGTCAAGAAAAACTCAATGTACAAGCCCGTTGAAACTACAATTACTAACACCTGTGCCACTTGTTATTCCTACCATCCTGCCCAGACTCTTTAGGCACTTCTTGGGGGACTCCTCCTGTTGTCCCCACATCTCTCCATTATATAAGCCACCTTCTTCCAGCTCCTAGTTCCTTTGACTCAGAAATTTTCATTCTAATTGCTTCTTTTCTCCTGTTCCCATAACTCCTCATCAGGCTAGTAAGCAGTGGGGCTCTCTCAGAACATTCCCTTACCTCAAGCACCCAAATGTCCATTTAGCTTCTTTGAGCTGAGCTGCACTCCCAGCTGCATAAGCACAACCTGGATTCTCTAGCTTGCTGCGTTCACACTCTCATCCAACCCCTGTTACTGCTGAGTGGGAGACCAGGGAGACACAGAGCCTCTCCTCAGGCCACAGCATACCAGACTGGCACGCCCTTCATCTGCCCCCTTCAGCTACATCCATGTAACTGCACTCTGTTTCCAACAGCATCCTGGTCTTCTCCCCATTGCCCCCACATTCCTGTGGTTAAGTCTGTGTCCCACCTTCTCAATCCCCAGGCCCCAGGCCCATCTTTTTTGGGTTAGAATTATGCATTCATCCTATGTAACATGGCAAAGGACAATAATGATGTTTTGATTCTATCGCTCTTCTATGGATCAGGCTGACTCTCCCCCAGGCTGACAAGAATATGTGAAAAGAGGGATTTCTGTCGTGGAGGGAGGAACAAAGATACATTATGCACAAATTACTTATCAGTTAAAACTTTATAATATTGTACAATAAAATTTACTTTTATCCACTCCTGAATATTATATTACTTTTTGATGGCTCAGAAGGCACGTTAAGTGATTGAAGTGCCTTTTGTCTTTGTGAATGTTAATTACTGTAGGTAATGGAAAATGCAAGAAAATGTAATTAATAGATCTTTCTGGTTAATGGCGTGATGGATATATCAACTTTTACTAGAAAAGACATGAAGTAGAATAATACCTTTCGATGTTTTCAGAGAAAATCTGGCTCAGACCTCTACTGCCTTTATTTCAAGTTGTGAAAGCAAAAAGCTTTCTGACATGAAACAGCTTAGTAGATTATAATGATGAAAGCCCAATTACAGTTTTAAAATATTAATATTAAAGATTATTTTATTCTGGAAGACTTGAGCACCTTACTAATCTTCACAAGAGGCACTTAATTTTTACCCAAATATAAGTGGAACCATCTCTGTCTTTCCAACCAGAAAATTCATGCCCTGCTAAAGTGCTGTTCACCAAGACTGCGATCTCCAACTATACCTGGATGTTATCAAACTTAAGATTATAGTTTTCTTTGAAGTTTAAACATTATACATCCCATTGCAAGAAGAATTTGTACAACATTCCAAAAGTGGAAAAACCATTCACATTTCACAAAGTGAAACTGATTTATGAAGAAAGAGGGGTCTTTTCCTTTGAAAATTACTTCCAAAGAGTTTCAGAATCTAACCATCATTATCATCAATTTTCTCTACACAAATGATCCAGTAGTGGCTTCAGTAAGTTACAACACAATTTTTTATCCATCAAGACTTAATGGAAAAAAGTAAGATGAAAAAGAAAAAGATTCAAAATCTCTCTTCATGGTCTAATGGCCTTTTATTCAGACAACTTTCTTCATGCAGAAAGTCTTCATTAATACACTACTAAAGATGTCATTAAAACTTCTCATCTGTTCTTCTGAGCTCTAAGTTTTGTCTCATGTAACATATTTTGCTTGAGTTCCTTCAGGTCTGATATCTCCATCTATAAATATCTACATTGGTATACCCTGCTATAGGAGTGGAATTGTGCAGCTATTAAAAAAAATACCTTGTTTCAAAAAAGTCCTTTTGAAATTATTCAATTTGACAAATAAAAAAGACACAGGAGGCAGGAGAGTAACAGCATGGATATTAATTAGTCCTTTAATGCCAGAGTCTCTATTCTGTACAAAGGTAAACCAGCCCAAGGTCTCTATCAAGACCGCGGCTTTCCTATCTGTGGAGTGTGTGATCTCCAGGCTGACTCAGTCATTGCTGCTCTGCACGGCCTCTCTCGTTTAAAAACATCCCCATTGGGAAGAGTCTCGGGCCTACCCTCTCTCATTTCCAAACTTTTCCTACAATGGATACTTGAGGAAGCAACATGAGTCTTCTAAGTGTTCGATTTTGACAGTAACATGAGTTTCTAAAACTCCATCCAAGCTAGAGACTGACTTACATTTAATGTTCCTTTCTCTAGGAAGCTGATTAGGGTAGGTATTTCATTCATAATGACCTAGATGGGAAGTGCAGAACTCCTAGCTTCTATTTAGAACTTTGGTGTAGGAAGCTTTCAGATGTCAAGGACACATGAAATCTCAGGCACTGACTGCTGCCTAACCCTTTCCTAGCCACTGGGCCTAGCTCCCCAAGTATCTCTGGCTCACACTAAGCTTCATGCCAAAAAGGTGGGCAGAAGGTACAGTACACAAAAGAAGTCACTGCCTCAGAATGGAACCCCATCCTGTTCTGCTCCTGTGGGTTGCATGTCTCCCACACCCTCTTCTGACCCCACAGACTCTGGGCCTCCCCTCTTAACTCTTTAGTAGTCTCAGCTCCTAAGATGTGTCCCTCTCAGTGGTGCATTGATTGTCTCTACTGAGCTCTTCATAGATTTAATCTGTGTTCTTTCTCTTTCCCATGGCCTGCTTGACACCTCACAGGCGTGCAGTGGCTTGTTGCCACCCAAGAAGAGCGTCTCAATCTGTGATGTGCTACCAGAAAATAGCACACCGTCAGCTAGCAACCAAGCAGAGCCTGGACTCTGTCCCTCTAGCTCTCCTTGCCACCCCATGAGCTCTACAAGTCACCATTAGGATTTCATAGAATTTGTAAACTCTCAGAGCCCGGCCTCCCTCGACTGCCACCTTCTGACTGTTTCCAGCAAAGAACCAGGAGTGCAAAGTGCAGAAATATATAGGTAGGACTCCATCATATGGTCACAGTATTTCTCTTTATTTGCTCCACACTGAAATGTTTATACAGCATGTAAGGTCGTGTGTTTAGATTTTGTATGCCAGTGTAGCTGAGAGCTAGCCATCTTAGGGGAGCTCTTCCACATAGGCGGCAGGAAAATGGCCTTTTTTTCCATTTAAAGAGCCAAACCACCATCCTTCTTCTTTTTTCTTGTGGATTGTCACAATGTCACCTGTGAAAAGGATCATTTAATTAAATGAGTCTCTGCAATTTGAACATACACTGAAGAGTCTTGAACACCTTCGTGTGAAGTAGGCATTGTGTGGAGGGTGGGACAAAGAGTAACATAATGGATGACTGAATTGTACCATAAAACCTTGTGATAAAAAACAATGTTGGAGCCTGCATTCTTCTTGGGCTGCCTGTTTGGATGCAGCTGATGGGGTGTCACCCAACTCTCTTGTGGCATCTGAGCTTTAAGGGTGTGCTATGTTGACTGCTGTGACTGTGTCTCAGCTACCAGGCCTTTCTTTTCACCGAGAGAGCTTCTCTCCTCCATATTGACCAACTTCACAGCCCAAAGCTCCACCTCACAACTTTGCACAGAAATGTTACCCCCTGTTCAACATTCTAGATAATTTTATTAAACTGTCAATTCAAAACCAATACTTTTTAAAGCAATAATTAAGATAGAATTCCTAAGAAACACATGGCTCTTTTCTGTCTGGTGTTTAAAAGTACAGTTTTTATATAAATAATCTGACAGTTGAAACTGGTGCCCCAAATCCTCTCGCTAAGCCCCTCTCTTGACAAAGTCCCATCTCTCTGGCTGCTTTCTGCACATCCAAATAGAACATTTGCTTCCTTCTGGATTCAAGAGCTACTTTATCATTAGCATGACTTAAAGGTAAATTTTTAGCTTTTCAATCTCTTCCTAGCAATTTTCTTTCTTAGGCAAAAGAAACTACTAACTCCCCTTCTATCTCCCACTGGTCACAAATCATAATTTATTCTGGAAGGAACTCATTCTTAGTCTAAGTTCTCCCTTCAGTGAGTTAGTGGGAGGTCAATAGATAAACACACTCTACTATCAGGAATTCAAACAAATAATTTAACAGCTTTTGCCAGTTTTCCTAAGCCTCCAATGTCTCCTTTAATTTAAAGAAACCATTTAGGATACAAAGTGTTAACAGGCTTTGCAACCAACAGAAAACTGAAAACAGGAAAAGTGATCAATTTATTGTTTCTTAAACTCAGGACCTCTCAATTCTAGATGGCATCTGGGACTGTGATTTTTTTGTTCATATGGAAGGTGGGATCTCAGACTTCATTTACCTACTTACTGCTATAAGCACCGCTGGCCTGATATGAGTATCCAAGTGACACCTTGAACACTTACAACTTTTAAATAAAGGCAACATTGATTTCAGATGAATAGGGATTTACTTTCAATTTCCCCTTTTCTCCTCATCTTTACTTACTTCTGGGCTAGAAGGAAAAGTAATTCCCTACAGAAAAATGACTGGCAAACTGAAAGAAAGCACCCACTAACCAATAACAAATAGGTGGTGTCCCGACTGTTTGACTGCACAATCCATCTTGATTTTCTGTTGGCTTCGGGCCCCACATCGGGCAAGGTCATGGATAATAAGTTTTCCTTTATGACACAGCATTTTCTCACTAACCTTTTCATTTCAAATCTAGGCCTTAGCTGCTAACTAGACACATAAAGAAAGTTGAAACTGCTGAGATTTTCTTGTGTATAATCACATTGAAGTCTACAAAACTCAGGGCATGCCACCTTTCCATGTTAACAAAAATCTATGAACAAAGGATGTATGATTCCTTAAATTGGTCATTAAAGCACTTTTCTGAGAGATAAGTTCAAAAAAGATTAAGCAAGGAGGACTATGACTTCCTTCCTTGAGTCCTTTGACATTGGTTCTAGAATTTTTCTTTTATATTAAGCTATGAGAGGAAGTCATTTCACACTTCTGCGTGTCTAGCTCTCTGAGAGGACACCTTCTAAAGATAATCTATCACTGACATTCTGCCCTATATAGCACTTTGATTAAGAGCATGACTCTTGAGGTTCCGAGTTCAAATCCTGCATTGACACTGCCAGTGACCGTGACTCTACTTTTCTACACCTCAGTCTCCTCAGCAGAATGGTAATAAATAAAATAACCATACATACTGCAGGGTTTTTAATGAATAAATTGGACCATGTGCCTCTAACAACGCTCAACACTTAACAAACCTTAAACAGATTTAGTTATTTTGTGAATTTATATTTGTTGTGCTTTTTTTTTTCATCTTCTAAGAAGGTTGATTATACACCTAAACCAACCTGACATGATAGTAACTTTTTTTTTTTTTTGATAGTAACTTTTTAAGGCTGCTGTACTGAAACAGAAAATTCAAGTTAGGAATTTCAACATAGGAAGTAACTAAATCAGTTGAGAATGATTCTTACCTTTTTCCAAATTCAATTCATCATCTTGTCTGGCTTGAAAGGAATATAAGGCCTTACAAAGGCCATTGCCAAGCTGGACCACACCAGAAGCTGAAAGTTGGATTAAGTTATAATTACTAATGCTGTTTCTGTAGGCATTGGGAAGATGAGAATCTTTGTAGCTATTTAGCAGTGTGGTACAAAGCTAAAATACACTGAAATCTTCTCAAAAGGAAAATTTATAATTTTATTTAATATTCATTCCTTTATTCACAACTATTCATAACATATTTCTATATGAACTGCACATGTTATATAACCCAAAACCATGCCATGATATAGAAAATCATGAGTCTAGACAAAAGTTATAATTATACTATCAACTTAAAATTACAGTCATGTGTAACCTGACATTTGACTGACAGCATCAATGTGGAGGACCTGAAAGGCCATATCACCAGGCCTAGGTGTGTAATAAGCCCACCACCTACAAGCCCACCACCTACATCTACATCACTGTTCTTCTACAGTATTCATATGCAATGAAATTGCCTACTGATGTATTTCTCAGAACATACTCCTATCCTTAATAATGCATGACTATCTTGGTTTCCCACATGTGCTTGTTAACATCTGTTAGCTAGTACATGGGGTAGTTGCATGTGTTTTTTTGGAAAATATAGGGCAGTTTTCCATGCAGATGTAGGTAGGGGTGTTTGAAGCACCTGCTTCCTAGGCACTTAAGGAACTGTTTCTCAAACAGAGCAATGGTGAATCTTTAATATGTCATGTGGACCATAAAATACTGGGTTTGAATGAACTCTTTTTCTTTTTGCCAATTTCAAATCAAGTAACTATATTGTCACAGTTAGGGTAAATACAGTTGAACAATGGGGGACAATGTAGGGGTGAATGATGTGGACAAACAAATGACTGAGTGCACACAAATGATTACTGTTAGATGACTTAATAAAAGGGTGGGAATCCAAGACCTTGGAATCACTGTTTCTCACAGAGAGAGGCCTCCATGGAAGTTTAAAGGAGACTATGGGGACACAGGTACAAAGCTCTTCCCGATGGTATCTAGCCAACTCTATGGGTAGCAAACTACAGACTGAATAACAACAGTGCCAGTCAATCTGATAGATGTCCTCACAGCATAAAATTCATTTCTCCAACTCTCCATTTCTCTTGATTCCTTCCCACATTCATGTTATAGTTTCACAGAAAACTACAAATTCTAACAAATTAATCTGTCCCAATGAAATGTAGACTTTATTGACTGGAAAATAATATCAACATAGCATTATACTTGACTGATAGTTCCCAGCCCAAAAATAGAGTGGTAAGGGGGGGTTACCTGTAGATGAGGTGGTTGGGTTGCTGTGCCCACCAGAAGACGCCCTGTTCAAAACATTCTCCAATCTCTTCATCAGAAATGGCCGAGATATTTTTAAATAACTATGTGTCTGCTGCTGTTCAAATAGTTTTGTACAAAAAAAAAGTCACTTTTAGCAAAACATTCACCATAAATATTCATGAAAAGTAACTTTTCTAAAGATGTTTTCTTCAGGAATATTTTTAATGGGGGAGTGTTGTTTATAAGTAAATTAGCTGCCATATGCCTAAGTCTTGTTATCATGCTTTTTTGTTTTTGAAGTCTTATGTTTTTTTCAGAATGAAACAATTATATTTTATAGCCTATGTTTGCAATCCTGACCCACACTTCTATTCTTATTAAATAAAAGCATTCCCAGCATTAATTCTACAAATTCAACTTTATTTGGCTTCAATGAAAGTGTAATTGTCATGAAATTGTCAAATGTGACATGATTGAGACCATGTTTGAGTTCATCCCATCTTATACAGACTAATTATTTGGGTTCCTCTTCAGCTCTGAATGGAAAATAACCACAAGCAATAGCCACCCCTCTATATGCACAAACCCTTGATTCCCTTAGAAATCTAACACTGGGGAAAAAAACGTGTGAATTTTAAAACCATACTCATGACATCTACTGTGTTAAACAGATGAAGCTAGTGTTTATCAAAACCTCATAATTTGGGCTTGTGTGAATACTATAATTTCATTTTATAAAAATTTTACTATAAAAGCACAAAGGATAAAGTTCAAGTGTGAGGGAGAAGAAACAATCCAAAGTGTTTTTAACTCCTCATATTATCAGTCTATTAAGATGTATTTAATTGTGGTTAGTTCTTGTTACTGTGCTCATAAAGAATAAAAATTCAGCTTTTTTCCCCGCTTAACTCTGATGCTATTTTAAGCTATTCCACCTAGCAAGCCCAGTTGATAAATTACAACCCATCTCTTAATTTTTTACCTTTTCTTTCCACTTGAAGATGTAGGAACTGCAGGGATGGCTGGGTTTAGGTCTTCGCTCAACTTCTGCTAACACAGATGACAGTTTATAGGAGTTTGCTTGCAAAAGGTCTAGCTTCAAATTGGTCTGTGGATATATCATTTGACCATGTCATTAAATTTCTAGAAAGTGAGGCAGGAAATCAGGGTAACTTTCAAATGACAAAATATTCTGGAAAAGTGCACATTCAACTTACTTGCAGATAGGCCCAGTGAATCCTGACAAGAAAGACAAAACGAGCCCTTTAAAGCAGTCTAGAAGAAAAGCTTAGTTACTGAATGTCTTATTCTGGACTCTTGTAAGCAGGAAAACTTCATATCTATTGTATATGACTCAGTGTGTTATGGCAATCAATAACTTTACTCAACTTTCTGCTGAAGAACAAGAAAGGGATAACAAATGTCAATAGTAGAACACAGAGCTTCAGAGAGCTGTGAGGACAGGTAATGGGCCTTAGGTGTTCAACTCTGTGAACAAAATTGAACCAGCTTTAATAGATCAAACTGAAAGGAACTGAGGTGGGTTTTGTTGATGTTGACGAGCTCTTGTACTTTCCAGAGAGTTTGCAGTAACACTGCGAGAAACTTGAAACAATGAGATATTTGAATATAAAAAGGAGTGAAACTAAAGACACACTCCTAGTCTCTTCCTACTCTGATTCCACCTGAAACTAGAAACTTAATTATTTCCTTGTCAAGCCGTGTTCAGGCCAGATAAATCAAATATCAGAACTTAAACATGGGAAGGACTCTACTTCTCCATTCTTTTCACCATCATTGCTCCCTTTTCCACACCTTCAGCACAGGGATTCCGAGCTCTCACATCTCCACTAGAGACAAAGTCATGGCTCAAACATTGCCAAAAAATGGGGAAGGGTCAAAATCTTGGAACAATCCACTGAATTGTGGGGCAGCTTATGTAAGAAGATCAAAATCTCCCCATGCCTTCTACCTCTAAACCTAGCCTGCATGTCAGAGCACCACAGAACACACCTTTTTTTCTCACTGTGCATCTCTTCTGTTCCTATCTGAAGACCACATGTCTTCTAAGCTACTTTTGGTTTTCCAGACAATTTCCCAGAGAACACATCTTTTCAACATTCTTCTGGCAAATATGGCATTGCAAGGTCCAAGAAGCAGTGAATTAGGAAGAATTTAAGTGAAGCAGTTTTCTCCTGCTAGAAACCTTCCCTAGATAATAATAATAAAAAAAGAAATCTAGCATTATCAGGTGTTTTCCTCACCCAGATATAGAAGTGTATAAGGAAATTATATAGGCATGTGGTATTTGGATTATGGTTTGAAAATTCCTATTTGCTCCTTTGCGAGCTCATCAATGAGTTTAGGGATCAGCTCTTCATTCACCTTGCATCCTCCACTGTGAATCAGGCCAGTTGTGTAATCAGATATTTCTAATACATGGTAATGACACCGACAAACTCTATTTCTAATACATGGTAATGACACTGACAAACTCTATGCAAAAGCAAAGAAATAAGATATAATTTAATATAGCATAAAATGTCCCATGTGACTTTATTTTGGTAAACAGTATTTGCACTAAATTAGTGAAATAGGTACTTTGTATTGTCACAGAAAATGTCCTACAGTCTGTTTTGCAATTTCATCAAAGTTATAGTCATGTGCCTCACAAGGATGTTAGTTTTCTGTTCCCAAGTGAACAGAATTCAGGCCTTTCTTTTCACAAGAAGTGTTAGGTTTTATTCTGTAACAGCACCCGCACTAAAGGAAGCCTCTCTTAATAAAATAAATCAGCCATTTCTGAAGGCATCTATTTAAGTTCAGCAAAGAGCTATTGAAATTGTCATTTTGGACAGAATGAATGGGTACCGGTTTTCACAAGAGAGCAGGCTGGAGCAAGTTGGAAGCTAGCCATGTTTCCTGTATCCTTCAAAATATTGATAACAATTTTATCTCTTCCTGAATTCTTAGATTAACTCCAGCCTCCTTCCTTTCACCCTAATCACAGCAGAAATCCCTTATCTTACACACATGCAGCTATTAATTCTTACTCTTATAGAAAATTCAGGGGTCTTTGTTAACTGTCCTTTTCACCTCGGTTTCTTTAAAATGGTCACATTGCCATTAATCCCCACAAATATCCGGGGTATGTCTGGGGGACTGTTGGAATCCAGGAGAAGGTCTGGTGGTATCATTTCTCCCTCACATCTGCACTCCTCACAACCACTTTGGCTACTAAAGTGGATCCTGTTTCTCTGAAAGCTTCACCTCACACACAGACTTCCTTCTTCCTTTTGAAATTATACCCTGAAGTTGCTGAGGGATGAAAGGCAAGAGTATTCTAATAATAATTACCTTTTCAAAGTTATCCTCTATCTACCATCCTAGCATTTTTTAACCATTTCCACTTCACAAAAACTCTTTGGGATATACTGATATGCCCATTTTACAGGTGAGAAAACAGAAGTTGTTCCAGGTCTGTGAGATGGCAGAACTGGATCCAACCACAGGCCTATCTGAATGCAGACCCTGCATTTTCAATCTCTTTTTATGACTGGGTTGAGGTACACAGGTTTCCAGATGCTGAAGGAATGATTCTATTTTGGGAAATTCTATTTGAGGCACAATTCTTTTCCAAGCAAATATTTGTAAGTAGTTTGGTTTTTCCACATCTCTCAAGATCCTTGTCAAGCAGCTGACCCTACAGTTCTCTGCCTAGATTGTTCTCTGTCATGAGAAAGGAAAGGCAAACAGGCCAAATGGGCCAGAAAGCAAGCATTCTAAAAATAACTCTTTCAATCCTTAAATCTAGGAAACTGCACTCCACAAATATTTACCTCATCCATTAAGGCTGCTGTAATTTTCTGGTTTTCTGCATCTGAGAAGGAGTTGCTGGAGTAGGTTTTCAGCATCCGTTCCAGGCCTGAAAATGAAGAGAGGCCAGCGGTCACCACACATCCTGTCCTCGTGGGATGCAGCTCAGAGGTCATGCTCAGAGAAAGCCTGACCCCAGGATTTCCTGAAAGGCTGGGCTGTTTCTGTTTGTGTGGGTGAATGTACTTTCTTTCAATGAAATTTAAGAAATACTGGTGCATCAAGATGAACTTAATCCTTTCTTGCTTATTCTGTCCACAGTGATTCCTGACTCACGCCAGTGCTATACTCTCTGTAGCTCTGACTGTGCTCCTAGCCAGTCTGACGTTGTCACAAGTTTCTTGGTCCACAGAAAATAAGCTATATCCATAAAAATCTCCCAGGTAGATTTATTTATTTATTTATTTATTGAATAAATCTTTCTAGAGCGACTTCATTTCCTAATGTCCCTAACTTTATCATTATAAGTTAGCTTAAAAAGAAACAAACAAGAAGGCCAATAGTTCATAGTAGACTTGCCATGGTTCAAAACAAATTGTCCTTCATTCCACTCAACTTCAGAAATAAAGTCAAACACTACATTTTTGGAGAAGTGGCACTGAATAATACGTAGATAGCTCTCATAGACCAAATATCTTTCAATTTTTTGCTTTTTCTTACTTTTCTTTATTCACATAAATTAGGCTTATATGCAATTCTTTAAATGAGATGACTCCCACCCTGGTTAGAAAAAACAGACTTAATCCTATTTCTGAATGAAACCTACAAGTGGAACACTTTCCCTTATCCTGCCATTCAGAGAGATCATCAAGTACCTTCCTGGTCTTTCAAGGCTTTGTCAATGTCTCCTTGCAGTCTCAGCAGTTTTGATTTTATGGAAGATACTTGTCGCTCTTTAGTCATAGCGTTGTTAGGATTTTCTTCCTTTAGGAAAAAACACAGGATGTTTAACAATTTAAGGGGGAAAAAAAAGAATGAATTCCTACTTTAAGCTGCACTGAGACTCGTTGACTTAATTTGATAGAAGAAAAAAAGAAAAGGAAAAACAACAATAAAAGAATAAGCTTTGGTTTTGTACAGATTGTCCTAATTCTTCTGGACCTGCTTAAAGCAAAACCACCAAATTTCACAATTTGTACTTACATAGTTAAGTACTTTCTTTAATAGAACAAATTATTTTTGAAGGATGGCACTGCTATAGTAATTTCATAATATCTTGATAAACAAAACTGTTGTATACTTTCTGTTTTATGTTTATGTAAGTTTGAGTCCTTTAAGGGTCCATGTATCCTGTCTGCCTCTGCTAGGACCCTCGGCAGGGAAACAAAGACTTACTGAGTGCTGCTTGTCTATTGGGAACACCTGAGCTTAAGCACAGCTCTCCCCAGTACAGCTTCATGATTTAGTTAGGACTTGAAGCATAACATTAAGTGATCTAGCAATTCAAGGCTACATTCTTCCATGAATGAATGGTGGTTTGCCAAAGGGCAGGGACAGACAAAACCTTACAGGAGGCTAGAAGGCTTAGCCAGCAGGCACTAGAACTAGCATAAGTGAAAAACAGAGGCAGGGCTAGGTGAAAGGAAAAATAGACCAATTATTTGAATAAACATAATGGAAGAAAAGTTGTCTAAGTAGTTTTGGCCAGATTTTTGGACCAAAGTAAAAGTATATCAGATAAGATGTGACAAACCATTAATTCTAACAGCTTTCACATACATTACTTCAAGGGTTTAATGGAAAAAAAAAAAAACAACTAGGGGTGGGTGGGAGGGAACTTACTGTAGCAGAGGGACAGAAACCCATGGAAAGGGGAAACTAATGACTCAAGATGGAAGTTGGAAAAATGAGGACATACAGTAAAAAGGAGAAAAGCTAGTTTTTTTAAAACTTTTTTTTGAGCACTTATCAAAAGCTACATGGCTTTCCTACAGCTTTCTCAGTAACTCTCTACATGAGTATTTTATCCCCACTTATACATGAGAGCACTGAGTTTCACAAAAGCTCAGAGATCCAATCCTAGGGCCCAAGACTGAACGTACAATTATTTTACCCATAGAGAGTAGAAGGTCCTATTCTAGGAAAGGTGCAGCTCTACTTTATTCCTTTTGGGGGTAAAGTGACATTGGTTTATAATATCATGTAGATTTTTTTGTGTGTGTACAGTCATATATTAACATCTATAAGCACTGTATTATACGTGTCAGTAAAATTCTGAAAAGCCAGGGTTTTGAATACTGGTGGAGAGATTAACTTATGAAAAATTGTCTTGAAGAAAGGGAAGTACAGGGATTTGAAGAAAAGAGAATAGTCTACTAAGATATAATGCATAGATATGACTATTTTATTTCCATATGGTATGTTACATATATATAATATTATGCACTATACATATAAATTTTCTTTATATTTTCTATTACATGTAATTCTTGCAGTAGTTCTATGGGTTGGGTTTTATGCTCCCCATTTCACTTGTGAATCTCAGAAAGGTCAATGAGAGGGTAAAACAATAAGTTAACTGCTTATTGAGACTTCACTGCTGAGCCCAGTTCTGACTTTTCCTTTCCCCCATCTGTTCCCTGAGTTTGGGTCCTGGGATGTTGACTTTGGTTACACCTTTAATCCTATGGCACAGGACCTCTGTGCTGGTTCTCCATATGGGGAGGGATGAGGACTCCAATCTGGATGAAACACAGAAGGCCCGGGAGGAGCCATCGGAAATTCTTTCCGCCCAATCACCTCCAAGAACATGACAATTAAGACTGAAAAGAGGGAATCATAGACAAAATCTTTGAGGCATGACCTAAGAAATCACAGACTTTACCACAAGAAAGCAAAAAGGGAAAATGCCTGAGCTCTCACCAGAGTCATTAATTCATTTTAGCAAGGAAGTCTCCATAGTAGTTTTCCCCAAATGCCCTCAAAATAAGCCTCTGTAATTTGGTCCCAGTTTTTCAAAGGCAAGGACCATGCTTCCTACATCTGGATTCACATCTTTATGTAATCAGTTGCCTTCTCTTGAACATTCACTTGCTTTTAACAAATAGAAAATAATGGGTGTCCTTCTGAGATTAGCTATAAAAGATCTCACTCTTCCATTTGGACAATCTTGGCTCTATCCATCTTGGATCCCCAGTTCTAGGGGAAGCAGGCTGATGTGTTATAAGCTGTCCTAGAGAGACCCACCTGACAAGGACTTGCTATCTCCAGCCAACAGTAAGCAAGGACCTTCTAGACACCTGCCACCAGCCACCAGCCATGTGACTGAGTTCCCAGCTGAGCTGAGCCTTAAGGCAACCGGGGCATGGTGCTGAAGGACTCTGGTTGCTGCTTTGAAAGGAACTCAGAGGTACCTGGCTCAGCTCTGCTTGGATTCCTGGCCCTTCAGAACTGTGAGAAGTAAGTTTTAAGAAGTTAAGTTTGGGAGTAATTTGCTATGCAGCAATAGACAACCAACACCATATACTGTGTGATTTATTTATAGATCAGAAAACATTTCTGCTGGCATTCTTCCTATAAAAGACTAAATATGAAAATGCAGACTAAAATCCTGTTTAACTTTTTCCTTTCCAGAGAATAACAATGATGTGTCTCCATTGCCCAGTCTGTAAGTCACACACTATTTCTTTAAATTTCTATGGAACATGAACATATTTTCATTTATAAAGTGTTCCCAATTACAGTTGCTTTCCATTTTTTTCAAATGATTTCCTCAGCATCTGACTGAGATTCCCCCACTCATAGCACTTTCATTCTATACTTACAAAATAATCAGTTAATAGGAATTCAGATTTATTTTCTGTAGATGAAACTGCAGTTTCTTCCATCAGAGCTCGGACATTCTTTTCAACGTCTATCTGGCTGATGGCACAGTGGACCTGTGTGTGGCACTGCAGGACCAAGATAACAGAACAAGGTCGTTGAAAACACCTGTGCTGCCAGTTTGAACAGTAGGCACCAAAGTGGGGGATGTCTGAATACTCACCGTGGTCAAAGTTTGGCTGAAAACAGAAATATGTTGAGTGTACTGCTGTAAGTTACTGCTTAGAAGTTGAATTCTTTCCTTCTCCAGCTCCAAAATACTCTGAAAAGGATGGAAATGAAGCAAGACTAGTCCATTATGCACAATTAAAGTCACCCAGCAAGCACTGACAGCAGCACCTTGGGATGCCTAAGCAGTCTGTGTTCGCACCTCTTGATTAAGTCTCGTAAACTGTGGTAGGGGGATGTGAGTGGGTGTCTCTTATTATTCAACTTATACCCTTCACAAATAGATCTTTTTTTTTTTTTTATCCAAAAGGCACAGGGGTAGATGTAGTGGGTCACCTTACACTCACAAAGAGGGCGAGAAAAGAGACCATTTGAAATGTGTCCATGAGTTCTAGAGAAAGAGAATGAATGCCAGCAAAATCTATGCCCATACGTTGGAGCTGTGTCAGATATTAAATATTTTAGAGCTATTTACAGTTACATAGAAGGTATCCTGCTAGGCTCTGCAGAGCCAAAGATAATGGGGTACAAACTTTTCTGCTTAAGGAAATTTGATAAGTGCTGATGCCCAAACTCTGATCACTACCCCTCGCCTAAAATAAGGCAGGCAGGGGAGGAAGTCTGAGGTCACCACTTGAAGGTGGGCACATAGCTTCCCATTTTGTGTGGGATTACAAATTCCATTCGGAGTTTCATAGTTTTGGCAAGAAGGGTAAATAAGGAGAGGGAGATAGAATATGCTTTGCTAGCCGTTAACATTTTAGAAAAGGTTAGCTATTAGCTCTTGCCACTTGCTGCTGGCCAAGCTGTTAACTATTGCTTCAGAGAGTGCAGAGAAGTTCAGCCCAGAGGCTTTATGTGAGAAGGTGGGGTCAGGTGGAGTTCAGGGGTTGCTTTCCAGGGGGTGCTGGGTATGTGCTGGGTATATGCTGGGTATGTTGACAGTTGTGGCAAGTGTCCAAACCACTCGTTCCTCCCAGAGGCCTGGGCAATCCTCTATCCAGAGTGGTTCTCACAAGCTTCTATCCCTCCTACAAGTAAAAAGAACACTCAGCAATAGTCTATCATGCAGATGCCTTTGGGCAAATTGTTGGAGACATTACAATAAGAATGGACTGCATCTCAGGTGTCCAGTAATTTTTTTTTAAAGATTTATTTATTTGTGCATACAGAACTGGGGTACAGGCCAGAGGCTCAGGGGTGGTGAGAGGCTTCACCAGAGACAGAGTGGGGAGCAGAACAGGCAGATCGACGAAGTACACTCCTGAGGGGAGCAGCGGGCGGGTCAGGAGAGGTCTGCCGTGCCATGTGGTCACCTCCAGGGCAGACGGGAATTGAACTCATGCGGAAGCAGCTTTAGATTCTCAGTGTTGTGCTTTAACCCGCTGTGCCACCAGGGAGGGCCTGTCCAGTAATTTTTAAAAAATAATTTGTTTTTGGGCCCTCCCTGGTGGTGCATAGGGCTAAAGCACAGCACTAAGTATCTAAAACTGCTTCAGCATGAGTTCGATCCCCGCCCGCCCTGGAGGTGATCCACATGGTGCAGCAGACCTCTCCTGACCTGCCCACTGCTCCCCTCAGCAGTGTACTTAGTCAATCTGCCTGTTCTGCTCCCCACTCTGTCTCTGGTGAATCTTCCCAGTTCTGTATGCATAAATAAATAAATCTTTAAAAATAATATTGTTTTCTAATTGTGGTATAACTTACACAACAAAGATTTAGCACGTCAACCCTTTCTAGGTGTCCAGTTTGGTGTCACTAAACACATTCACATCGTTGTGCCACCGCCCTCTCCTCTTCTCCACAACATTCTCCATCTTTCAAAACTGAAACTCTATAGCCATTGAACTCTGTTCCCTGTTGCAAGTTCCTCCAACCATCCTGAGAACCTCCACTTACCTTCAGGTTCCAAGAGGTTGACTTCTCTAAGTTCATCTCCTCAGAATTTACAGGATTTGCCCTTTCACGTCTAGCTTAATTCATTAGCATGAAGTCTCCAAGGTTCATCTACAGTGTAACTTGTTTCAGAATCTCCGCCCTTTTTAAGGCTTAACTACATTCTGTTGTGTATATATACCACATTTTTATGTTCCAGAATGTAGTCATTTTAGTGCTTCTCGGCTCAGGCGTATGTGAACATCTATGTCAATTACAGGCACATTTAGATTCTGTGCTAAGTGTCCTGGCATTGGAATTGAAAGACCCGGCACTCTGCTCCTCCCCACATGCTTCTTTGTTGAGTGAGAAGCTGCACGATTTTTGTAAGACAATGGGAGCCAATCAATACCACTGTCGGTGTGAGGTTTTTCTCCAAAATCACAGGCCCTAGCACTCTGAATGTACACCCAGTTTCCCAGATAAAGGATTAAAGACATAAAGGAGTAGCCTACCAAACCTATTGCTTCTTGGTGGAGATGGTAATGTTTAACCATTTTTATTATATTTCAGGGAAATCATTAAATTGATCTATGTTTGCTCATGAAAAGAGGCAAGGATAAATTCTATTGGACAAAGGGAAATCCATATCTCATTTAACAAATTATTACTTTCTGTTATCTTGTTCTTTTATATGAAATAAGTGGCAGAGAAGCAAGAGACTTTGAAGGACCTCAGACTCCCCTGTGCTTTTACAACAGCGCATATGATGTGGGGTGAGTGTTATCAAGGAACAGCAGATTCAGCCCCAGTTTGGGACACAGGCATTGCCATACTCATAATCTTCATTCATTCTTTTCAGTTTCCTCCCATCATGGACTTCTGGTTTGTACTACAGGCAGAACTTGGAAAGACTGTTTTCTTAATTCTGATCAAAGAAATAGCTTGCTCTTTTCTAGAGCAGGAATTCTCAAATTCTGGCATGCCTAGCCACCACATGGACCCTTTCCTAAATTATTTCGAGGTTGCAATCAGGAATCTGAATTCTAACAAGTGCCCTAGGCACTGTGAGACATTGTTCTGTAGCTCTGAAGGGCCACCCAACTTGCATTTTAAAATAATTTCTAATTCTTTCATCCAGAGTTAATTGCTGTTAACATTTTGAATTATTTCAAATAATGTGTGCATGCCTGATTTTATCATTCAAGTTACCTATCAAATTTTTTTAAATTTCTGTTCTGTTTTATCATTAATAGTATATAAGTAGTTTTCCATGCACTTTGTCTCTAAAAACCTTTTAAATGAACAGGCCATTGTATAGGATTATGTAGAATTTATTGATTTGTTAGTCATTCCTATAAAGCTGGCCATTTCGGTTGCTTCCCCCCTTTTATTTCTAAAGCATTTGGAACAAAAATGTGTATCTTGTTTTCTTGCTACTTCCTCAAGAGGAATTTATGGAAAGAACTTTTATTTTTTAACAGTGATTCTAAGCAAAAATTAAGCCTTTCTGTCTGAAGGCATTCATTTTGGAAATAGATTACTGGGCACATAGCCCTTGGGAGAACTGAGAAGACAGTCATTCAGATTATTTTCTGAGAAGATGAGGAGCAGTGGTTGAGAACATAAACATTTCTAAGGCTTTTGACATGGCCAATGATTTTCTAAACTAATTGCTAGAATAAGTACTATAGTACCAAGCTTTTGAGTCTTAGTAATTAGTGGTAATGTGGCTATTGTTTTTCAAAATATATTATAAATTTTTATACCAAATGTTTCTTCTTGGAAGGGAGGAAATATAGCTTGAATGTAGCATTATTATGAAGTAACAAGACTAGTTCTGACAAGTGATTCATGGAATGGGTTTCATTACTTACTAGACAAATTTGAGATCTTATATTTCTCATAGTAGTAAACTTCCTTGTTAAATGAGTATTTTAAGAAAGGATTTGCAAAGCTTACCTGGATAGTAAGGAAGGGTAAAAGGATACTTCATGGACTACTACAGTGAATTCATGTATTCCAGTTTTAGAAAATTATGGTGGAGGATAGAGAGAAAGTGAAACTTTCATAACAAAATTCTTTTTGAATTCAACATCCCAATTTTGTTGTGTCTTCGTGAATATAATATTTTATTCTTGGGTTACAAACAAGATAAGATACAGAATACGATGCAATATGTGAGCCAATGACTTGTTAGTATAGACTGAGAGTATACAAACCATGTTAGACAATGTAAAAGAATCATTGTTGGTTGGGACAACAATGAAGAAAGAATTTGACAGAGTAGACCTAAGTTGGGTCTATTGGGCTGGGTTTGGCACTTAGTGGGCAGAGGGTAACTCTAAGGAAGGTGCAAACAGAACTCTTGAACTGAAAGACAAAGAGGGTGAAATCCTGGTGAGCACCAGTTAGTAATGCGACTTCCCTAAAGTCACGACTGAAGGAGGGCCACAGCTAAGGACCCTTAAGGTGGTGTAATATAGCTCTGACCTCCAATTTAAGGCTGCATGAAACTCTAGGGAAAAGAAATACATGATAACTTACCCGGTAGCAATTTTCTAGTGTGTTTTCCCATTTTAATCTGGTAGAACAGCCAGCCATATTTTTTTGATAATAATTTTCATCTTCTTTTGCCAGCTTCTCAGTCGACTTCTTCAGTTTATTGAGGAGCTAAAGTAAAATGGCAGAATCTCATTAGCTCATTTTTAAAAGCCCCTAGTAATGCCATATAAAAATGATACATATTCCAATGACATGTTTCTCATCTCTCAGACCATAACCATGGATGACAAAATTAAAAATATTTCTAGGAAAAGAGACATCAGCTGAAAGGAAACCCAAGTGCTTTGGGGGGTTGATTCCTTCCATTTTTCACATGAGGAGGTTGAGGTCCTTCAGCAGGATGGGTTGTGTCCACATTAATCAAATCAAAGAGGAGGCCAGATAAAAGGTAAAAAGAAGCAAGTGCTGACCAGGAATGCCCAGTGTAAGAATGAGTCTGTCCATGACTCTGGAGGTCTTAATGAAAATCCCCTAGAGCCCTGAATTTCTTATCTGTAGATGTAGGCTTCAGGTAAAATTTAGAACTAGAATTAGCCTGCCTAGCATCCTGTCCAACAATTTGACTTACCTGTACTCTACAGACTCTGCCTTATAACTCAGATTCAGACTTTAGGATAAGAGACTTGGTTCTGACTATAGGCAATTGCTTAACCTTTATGAGTCATGGTTTTCTCATCTCTATAAAGGGAATGTGGATTTTCCTACTTCACTGGGCTGTTTTGAGGATTCAGAGTGATGCACTGAGGCACATGGCACATCACCTCACCGCTGTATAGCATTCAAAGACCAGCAAGTATGACTAAGAAAGAGACTGTGTCACATGATAAAGTTTCTGGAAGTTGCGACCTTGTGCTTGACAGATGCTCTACTTCATCCTCTTCCCCAGTCATCTGTTCTTTCACAAGAAACCTCCACTTGCCAACCACCAAAGTTGGCCATTCTGACTATGAAATCTTCTGGAAAGCCAGTAATACAGAATTCTCTGAACCAGGGCAGCTGAAATGGATTCTTAAAATGTTCTGTCAATTTTACATCTCTGAGAAAGGAGGGAATTAGGCTACATAAATGATTCTCAAATTTTAATATATTAAGGAATGACCTGAGGGATTGTAAAGTTGCAGATTTTCCATGAGTAGCAATACTGATTCAGTAAATCTGAAGGGGGATGAGGAAAGCTGAATTTTCACAGCCTCATCACAGATTAAGAAATAGTAAGAATCCCTCTAATTTAGACCAAAGGAATTTCAAGGATAAAAACAAGTGTTTTTAAGAATACTCTTTGGTTTAAGAACATTGGAGTAATATTTCACTGATAAAGAATACTTATCTAGATGCTGAATAATAACACTCCTTGTTTTATTGTTCCAATTGATGTACCATTTATTCACAATCCCTTGTTCTGATATAGGAACTACACAGGACACATTTGGTTTTGTATACCAAGTGTAAGGAATCACATTAGTAGATTGACCTGAGCTTGTGGATTTTATTCTGATAACAATATAGTGAAAGAGCTGCTGGGGTGCCATGACTATGCTTTGTGAAATCATTGTCATTAGATTCTTAGTGAGACTGCTCAGGCCCCCACTGATGCATCACAACTGCTGACTACAAGTTTGAGAAGTCTTTGAAGGCTTGTAAAAAAATGATATGTTTAGGCCCTCCCTGGTGGCGCAGCGGGTTAAAGCACAGCACTGAGAATCTAAAGCTGCTTCCACATGAGTTCGATTCCCGCCTCGGAGGTAACCACATGGTGTGGCAGACCTCTCCTGACCCGCCCACTGGTCCCCTCAGCAGTGCACTTCGTCGATCTGCCTGTTCTGTTTCCCACTCTGTCTCTGGTGAAGCCTCTCACCACCCCTGAGCCTCTGGCCTGTACCCCAGTTTTGTATGAATAAATAAATAAATCTTAAAAAAAATGATATGTTTAAATTTAAATTTCAGAAAATTCAGCTTGGCCTGTATATAGGGAAGAGGTAACATTAAAAACCAGGAGACCCAATCCATTAATTACAATAGTCCAAGCAATGATGATGGGGCCTGGGAGAGAGAGGCAATGGAGATAGATAAACTAGGTAAATTCAAAAAGCATCTGATTTAGGGGTTCACATTGGAAGCTTATGATGAATGGAAGATACAGACGACACAGAAATAAAAATATTTTTGATAGAAACAATTCTTGTTTTGAATTTTGAGTTTGAGATGCCAGAAGCAGTTTAGAGACTGGTTTTGGCTACAGATATAAATTTGGGTATTGTCAACAAGAGATGGGAGTTGTAGCCCCAACAGCATATTAATCTAGGACTTATTTTTAGTGCCTGAGATTGATACCTGATATTCACAGCACAATGTCAGATGATGAATATATATATATTCATCATATATATGTGTGTATATATACATATATATGTGTATATATACATATATATACATATATACATATATATATATGTTGAATAAAAAAAATGAAGCCAGGACAAAAGTCAGGATCAACAATATATGGTCAGACAGAAAAAGGGCAGTCTATGAGGGAATCTAAGAAAAAAGGTGGGGTGAAGTAAACTGTTGCTAAAGTAAAGGAGAATGTTTCTAAAAGAGGGAAGCCAATGACAATGCTTCTAAGAAATTTAATAAGATAAGGACAGAAACTGTTGTTTGACTGTAGCAAGGATATCATTGTTTTCAATGGTAAAAACATGCTTAGTAGAATGGTCAGGAAGGCTTGATTGGGGTAACTTGAGGAAGGAACAGGAGATGAAGAGATGGAGACAGAGCACAGACAATCAATCTTAAAAGGGGAGATGGCAACATCTAGACAGGGGCAGGAATAGAGCCATGGGAAGGTATCTCCCTGACTGTCCCAAGATAGAGAAGAATGGAGAAGGTGGCTGGGAAAGAACTGCTAGAGAGGGGTATGTCCAAGACATAGGAGGAGAGAATGGTTTCCCAATGGCAGGATGGCAAGGGAACTGGAGCTCAGGATGAAGGACTGGTTTGTCCCATTGCATGTTACTCCAGTAGACTGGTGGCTGCCTGGCTTGCCCTTACCCTGTGAGGTGGGAGGTGACATAGTCTTCTGAGAGTGAATGAAGGGGTGCTGAGAGGGTGAAGGGGTGATGAGAATAGAGATTTAGGTAGTTTCTGGTGAGAACAAGGACTGCTGAGCAGGGAAACAAGACTTGCTGAGCAGCACAGACACACTCAGTGCAGGTTGGAAATCACGGACACTTCTATGTGAGATCAGAAAATGACTGTTACATTAGGAGTTGAGTTTAGTAATAATAATAAAAAAAAGCTACCAGATAAAGCAATGAAGATGGTGGGAGTTTGTGATATAATGACACCTGGGGGCGAGGGCTAAGGACCGGCTGGAGGAGGACAGGGGAAGAAGGTGGACCTCAATCACCCAGAGAAGCTGCTAATGAGGGAAAGAAGAAATTCACCAGCTGGCTGCTCAGGTTTCTCCTTTATTATTTGACATCAATAAAGAATAGCTTCTAATGAGGCCTCTGAATGTCTATGACAGGTCCTGGTGCCTAGCATATTAGCATACTGTGGCTTCGCCTCCTTGGAAGTTGTCTCATTATTCAATTCTTGTTATGATCATTTCAAACTGTGAAGATTGACATGTGCAGAAATAAGAACCTTGTAAAATCTTGCTAACAATGCATTTAAGTTATTCAACTAATAGTTTCTACAGATAAAATGATAGCATTACTCTGAGGCCAATTTTCTTTTTCTTTTAAGAAAGAATGTAATGGGTGTAGTGGTGCTGCCTATATTTCCTAGGGGGGATTCCATCTTTGGGGGCAAGATACAGACTCTTTCAAAGGTTTCCAATCAGGAGCACATAGTATTCAAAAGATAACCTCTTGGGGTTCAGATAGAAAATATTCTGTTCCCACACCAACTTTGAGTTCATTTTTGCCTAAAAATTTACCCTTATTTAATATGTGAATTTGCATTGGTGCACACATGTGGACAGCTGTGGATTCTGAAGTCTCCAGGGGGAGGAGAGGGAATTTTACAACACGAGAAGTTGATATAGTACTCCCAATGTTTTCACTTTCGGCCTGGAGGAGGCCCAAATATGCCTGGGTCAGGCATTTACAGACTTATTATCTACCTTTCACTCAGTTAATACACACGAATGCCTAAATGTCTTAAAGATGTCTGCCAAGAAGCTGTACTTTGACATTAATATGAACAATGCAAACACTAATTTCACCACATGGAAATGTCCGAACTGAAGCTTCACCTGCTCCTGCTCATGACTACACTATCAATCGTGAAAAAGCAAAAAGCTCAGATGATCTAGTGATATCTGATAATAAGTTGACAAAAATTAAATTATTAAGAGGATATTAGGAATAGGAACTTATCTTTATTATAGTTAAGGCTGAATCTTACCTAAGAATGTAACTTTCTATGTTTTATCTAATGATTATATAAAGGCTTTATGACTAGCTAATCATGTAAAATATTTTAGTTTTATCTCACCTTTCAAATGTTTCAACTTTTCAATGTCTTACATTGAAAATATAGTACAACATATAAAGTATTACCTATTATATAATATATAAGTATATTTTAGAATATATTGTTTATTTTTAAAATGATTTGGGGGGGTTGAGCTTTTTTTTTAATGTTTTAACATTAACATAATCCCCAAAGCCCATAATCTACAAAGCAGAGTGCTGAAGGTTACACAGTGTAAGAAACTGTTGTTCCACAGTACGATTATGATTTTTAAGATTATGATTTTCTACTCTGCTATAATGAGAAACAATCTTACCTACTTTAGTTAGTAGACTTTAACTACTTGAACAATCTCTTTTTCTTAAAAAAAAAAAAGAGCTGTTTAATTAATAGGATTCCCTATTTTAAAAAATTGTATACCACTAGCCTAACTTGCCATCTGTCAATAATACCTCTTAGAAACATCTTGGGGTGAGGCAAATGTCTCCTGTCTAGTCCGCTGCTCCCCTCAGCAGTGTACTTCATCCATCTGCCTATTCTGCTCCCCACTCTGTCTCTGGTGAATCCTCTAACACCCCCTGAACCTCTGGCCTATACCTCAGTTCTGTATGAATAAATAAATCTTAAAAAAAAAGAGAATATGGTAACTTATTTAAAAAAAAAAAAAGAAAGAAAGAAACATCTTGGATCAGGACTGACTTAGATTCCTTCTTACACTCTGACGCACGACAACTAATAGAGACCTCAGCCAGGGTCACCAGCTCGTCCCCACATGCAGACTGAGGGCAGGAAGCACATCTATCTCCCAGCCACATGCTCCAGTTGGCCATGACAGATTACCTTCTGCTTCTCCTTCTCAGTCACAGTTTGCTTGGAGCTTTCTACAAGATGGAAAAGTGCTTCATGCTTCTTGGTACTCACCATTAATTTCTTCTTAGCCTAGAGTAAAATAAAACATAACACACACAAAAAACTGGTTATCAGGAGAAAAACTCTTCTGATCTGAAACAGAAGTTCATGTACTAATTTGAACGATTGTGTATATTTAGTTCTTCATTTCTGCCCTCACCTCAAAATTTGCCTACAATATCACAGCAGCTAACATTTTGCCCTGAGAACCGCGGTGTGCTTTTGTCATTAAATCGGGTACACTTAAGAGATATATCCACTTTACTAAATCACTGAAGGCCCATAAGCCTCCTAAAGATTGATCTTGCTAATTTATTAAAAGAATGACTTTAGCACACACACACACATGCACACACAAATCACAATAAACACAGAAGACTGTCTGCATCTTCCTTTTAAATGAAACTGGGCCACAGCTGAGGCTGGTTTGTGATGCTCTCTGAGAACTTAGACCAGAGAGGACATTTTGCTTCAGATACGTGGTTTCAGAGTCTGCTGTTTGCCTGGTATCTTGTGTAATGCCTTATTTACAGGTTGGGAAGAATTATTCAAAGTCTCTCTCTTCTGCTGATATCTCAGACTCAAAGTAGGCTATAGTTCAGATTGTCATTCCCTACCCCAACACAGAACCAACCTGGCAGAAGATGATGCTCCAGAGATAAAAAGAATTTGGTTCCTTGGATTCAGTGTATTCAGAAACGGGGTTGATGGAAAGCCTGGGTTTTCACCTCAGGTTTGCAAGGACTGACAAACCAGGTCATGAAGAAAATGCTTAACTCTCTTTCCTTAGGAAGCAGAGAGAATCTCTCCTAACATATGAAGCCCCTAAAGAGAAAATTCAAGGACAGAGATGCTCTTGGCCCTCTTCTTCCACCTTCACTGGATCACATGCTCGCTGAAAAATGAGAGCACGAGGCAAGAGAATTTGGTCCCTTTTTATTTGTGTCACCAAAATAGACTGCACTTCATTACTGATGTGCTGAATCCCTGGATTGTAACTGGGGAGAAAATTATTATAGCTAAAGAATTTCAAGTTCTCTAATTTCTCTGTCACTCTTCATAAAAAATCAAATCGTTTTATTTAGAAAAATTACTTGGTGGAAACTGGCAAATAATAAAGGACGCTTTTTGTTCTTGAAAGTAATTGCAGCTGCTGAGCATGATCTCTCTCTTTTGGTCCATTATGTTGAATTCTTTTGTGAAAGTTGAATATTTACAGAATAGATTCTTAAAAACAAATTGGGCTTACGAAAACTCATAAAATCAAGGATGAAACTAGAAAACAAATAATTGAATACTGTTTATGAGTCTTTAAAATATTTATTATGAAAGTGATTCTCATGAACATTCTTTTACTAATACTCCTATTGTAGGTGTAGACATTCATTTATGGCAAATATTTTTTCTTTCCTTTCTTCTGTCTGCAGTTCAGAAAGCTGGCCTTGCTGCCTCTCACCTGTCACACTACTCCTCATCTTCCCAAAGTCGATACAGCACAACTGGCCTACCGGCTCTTCAATGGGGGTTTGTGGGTGGGGGAGAGTGGGGTGATGATCAGCCTCCTGCATGCAACTTACCACTGTTCCTGTTAACTGTACATTTCACCTGAGTGCCTTCCCATCATTCTAGTTGGCCAGGGACTCTGTGTCTCAAACATTTTATATTAGCGTTTTTGGTCTTACAGAGTCCTTGCTTTTAACAGAAGTTTTGGAGGCAACACGGAGGCCTGAGATGGAGCCATCATTTTCTGAGGGTGGCTTTGGTTGACATTAGTGGCTGTCTACTTGGGAAAGCTCTCTGTGGGCAGTAACACTATGGAGATGAGAAACATTTTCAACTTTTAAAGCCTAAGTTCTCAAAGAAGGGAACTGAATTTTCTTAGCAGATTCCCTCTCCAATGGCTTCTAGTCCTTTCCACTCAAAATGAATTCTTGCTAAGCTAGATTGTTCTAGAATAATTTTCTGTACACATATATGTGCTCCATTTGTTCTTTTCTTTGCTTAAGAGCCTATATGATACTCTTTAAATTCTCATACTAGATAATAATTCATCTCCTTAGAACTCATTTACTATTTCCTGTACATGTTATCCAAAGAGCTCAATCTCAAGTTATTGGTCAAGTGTCGTGCATAAAAAGTGGACCAGCAGAAGTGCAGAATTAATGAACACATTCTCCTTCACTCACCCTCAAGTACTCCCCTCACTTGCAAGACAGAGATTATGCACACTTTGCCACAAATAATAGAACCAAAACTGAGATGGCATTTGTCGTTTGCCCTAAATTCTAAACTGTACAGAGAGGGAGACAGCACAGTGTGATGGTTAAGAACAGTGACCCTGAATCCAATGGCTTATAACAAGTCTTGGTGTGACTATGAACCAGCTTTATAAACTTAGGCAAATTATTTACCTTCTGTATCTTAGTTTCCCCACCCATCTGTAAAATGGGACAATGCAAGGTCATAGGCAACATAACCTTGTTGTTATAGTTAAATATATAGCACCTGACACACAATAGATTCTATGTAATTATCAGCTACTAGTAATAACCATAGAGACCTGGTCTTCTTTGAGCTTAGTTGAAAGTTACAGCTATAAAATGACACAGGTGAAGATACATTTTTCTCTTCAGTTAGCATTTAAAACATAACATTAGAACACACATGTGCAAAAACAAAAAGCTTCAATTTATGTGAGACTGAGCTCAGATAACGTGCATACTTACCTTAATCTGTTGACTCCAGTTGTTAATGACAAGATTTGCTGTCTTTTCAACTTCATTATCAAGCTAGTAAAGAAGAAAGAAGAGGAAAAACATGAGGCTCTTATTAAGTGATAGTGCTGGCTTATTAATTCTGGCAAGTCACTGTAACAATTCATAGTAATTTCAACATTCTGCAATTCAGGATATAGCTTACAGGTATTTGATAAATAACTAATATACAGCTATGTAAAAACATCATTGATGTATAGAGTCAGTGTGAAGCAAGGATCTTGCATCACTTTGGTCCTTTTACTTCTCTTCAGCATCATCTCAGGGGGTTAAAATTTTAATAGCACAAAAATCAGTAATGGTCCTAGCAGTACTAATTTTACTAAGTGTCTCACTGTCCCTGAAGTGAATATTGCTTTAATTTCAAAAAGATTAAATACTTAATCATAATTAACTTTCCCCCTCTTTTAAACAGCCAAAGGAACAGTAGTAATAAAGATGAAAATGAATCTAGGGAATCTAGACTGCGATCAGATATAAATTAGGGCAGAACCTTTTCCCCAGATTACGGATCAGCCATCATTCAACCACCCTGAGATTTAGCAACTCTACTCCTTTATTTCTTTAGGTGAGGAAATTTGGAATATATGATTTATTATAACAAGATAATTAAAATAATTTTATGTACTATATTACTTTTGACACTGTGTATGGCTGAACTATAGAAGAAATTAACTTAAAAAATCTAATCCTTTATACATTGTGAAGTGAGGCTGGGCAGAGGGGGTGCAGCAGGTGGTGGGGGTACAGTTGAAAAGATTATGAACAGGAAAAGCAGTTTGGGGGGATCATGACATTAATTATCTAAAGCATTGTGGTAATGACCATAGCATTTATGGTCATTACTAAGGAAATGCTAGTAATAAGATTATGTGGTATGAAAAATGTTTTGTAATTAATGAACTAAAGCCTATGGATTGATTTTTATATGATTGCCTTGCAAAAAAACACCATTTATATCACTTTCTAATAATTACCATACATTATCCCTAATACCCTCACAATAAACAGAACATCCTATTGTTAAACACACACATGTCTACATAAACATCAATTCTTCCTGATTCAGTTTAAGAAATTTAAATGAAATTTTTGGGCATCATTCTCCTTCCAGTAGAACTTTCTCAAACCCTCAACCTACTCACTAACTTTAGACTCTGCTGCACCTGGCTGTGGCTCCTCCCGTGAGTCACTGCCTCTTCTCAAGGACTACCCATTCTGCTGCTGAACTTCTTATCTGGACTTGGCCTTGAATTCCACGAACCGTCATCATGACTGTACCCCATCAGAGCTAAGTAACATTTATTAAGCACCACTTTTTTTTGTCTGAAAACATAGATGTGTTTATGACTGTTTGACACACAAAATGAGAACAAACGAAGCTGAAGACTAGAAGATCTGCAGTACAAGAAAACTGGACACCCTGAAAGAATTGTAGTTTATTCAATTTTAAGGATTTTCTTCAATTTGAGAGTTATATTTATTATTGCTTTTGTCTTAATCCCAAGTTTATCTGGGAAAGCATTTTATTTTAAAAAAGTTATGTTTATGGCCCTCCCTGGTGGTGCACTGGGTTAAAGCACAGCACTAAGAAGCTAAAGCCACTTCAGCATGAGTTTGATCCCCGCCTGCCCCGGAGGTGACCACATGGCGCGGCAGACCTCTCCTGACCCGCCCGCTGCTCCCCTCAGCAGTGTACTTCCTCAATCTGTCTGTTCTGCTCCATGCAGTCTCTGGTGAAGCCTCTCCCCACACCTGCACCTCTGGCCTATACCCCAGTTCTGTATGCATAAGTAAATAAATCTTTTAAAAATATATGTTTATAGTTCATCTGTTTACAAGACTTACGTGTTTGTTGAGGAAAAAGTAGAAATAGAAAAAAATATTAAAATCACATCTATCTACTATCTAAAGATAATTCTTACTAACATTTAAAGGAGCTCTCCCAGGGTTTTTTCTATGCACTTATACATGGTATTTATTTTACAAAATTGATACTATATTTTCTCATTTGGCATTTTTATTTAACACCATATAGTGAAAAAAATACATCACAAAAGATTTTTAATAGTTGCATAGTATTCTGTTGCTTGAATTTACTAGAATTTAATTTTGAGCTAAAAATTTTAGACCCAGTTTTTCATTATTTTAAATATGCTTTAACAGTCACCCATTTACACAAATTTTTAGGTTTTTGTTTATTTTTTGATGAATTCCTAAAACCTAGTGTCAGTTTTAGATTTCTTAGGCCAAAGACAGAAATCTTACTTAAACAGGGGAGAAAAGATTTTTATTTTATTTCTTAGGCCAAAGACAGAAATCTTACTTAAACAGGGGAGAAAAGATTTTGACTCACTGATTTTCTCTTCTTCTCATGTTCACTAAGGACTTGATGAGTTGGTTTGATTGCTTCCAACTCAATTGCTTTGCCAAGTTTTCTGGAAACAGAACATAAAAGATGCACAAACATAGTATTGAATTTATATCTACTTTCCAAATTAGTTTCTGGGGGAATAAAATGAGGTGTCCAACAGCATATCTATTCAGTGCAAGTTGGAAGCGCAGTGTTTGTAGCACACCCAAAGTAAGTGTTTACAAATCCCTTCGGGATTGGGGTGGAGAAAGGCGGGGAAGGGAGCACTCACTGATGCAGCTCTGCGGCTGACTTCATGCCCTCCGAGACCCAGGTCCAGGCACTGACGAGACAGCTGGAGGCAAAAGCGGAAGAGTGCAGGGGTAGGTGTCATTTCTCATTAAAGTTTGAAAAATAAAAATATCATCATGCATTCACTGCATTCAGCAATTGCACTTGTTTCCTTAAACTTATTCCAAATTTTTCCATGGGATTAAATTCGGCCAACACATTTATTTGCTCTATAAACATTATATATATATATATATATATATATATATATATATATATATATACACATATATACACACACATATGTATGCGTATGTGTGTGTGTATATATATATATGTGTGTGTGTATATACACACATATATATACTGCATTTTTAAATTTCAGTTTTCATTTTCTATTTAATGACTGTAGAAAATCAGGAAAATAATGTAACCAAGGGTGAGCAGGCACTGAGAACAGTGGATGATAGGCTGCTAGGGGTGGAAGGCCCTGAAAGACAATCTTTCAGGCTCCTCATTTCATAGATGAACAAAGTTCAGAGAAGTTAAGAGACAGAGGATTTAAGAGTTCTGGTTTCATACCATGTACGTTTTGGGGGTTCAGGTCTAATTTTTGTTTCCTGCTGGCTTCTAGGACAGCTCAGATATATAATGGCCTTGAGAACACTATCCTGTCCCAATTTAACACAAGGGTAGCATTGTCCCCAGCAACATAGAGGGAGGACTAGGAAGTGTGATGTTATTTTCTTCCATGGAAAAGGCATAGCTATCATCTAGTTGGCCTTCAAAAGACACCGCATAAGCTCAAGTCCATCAATAATCTTCAGGGACAGAGCTCAAGGACAGAGATATGTGCAGATTTTGATGGAGGGGGAGGGCACAGATCTGTGACCTCACTGAAATCAGGATGGTGCAGAGATAGACTTAGAGAAATAGGCCAGAGGATGCCAGCTTTTCTACATATCCAAAACCAGGCACAAAAACAAGTGTGTCAGAGTACCTACTAGATGTTTCCAAATATAGAAAATTTCAGTAAACACCAAATGAATCTATACTGACAGGAAGCAGATCAGTGGTTGACTGGACAAGAGGGAGGAATGATTATAAACAGGCAAGAGAATGCTCTGCCGTGGTATCATTGCCTCTGCTTTGGTGTCATGGCACTTACATATGTCAGAGTGAACCAAAACATAGACATCTTACATATGTCAGAGTGAACCAAAACATAGACATCATGGGTACTTATTATAGCAAGAAGTTAAAGTTGGATAGTGTTGGTTAAAAGGGAAGCTAGGTGCACTCCTTTGGGAAGAAACTCTGCCATTTGTTTTTCGCAGGAGCTGAGCAGGAGAACTGGACATCCGGGGGCTGGCCTCGGTCAGAGGGTCTGTGTCTGAAGCCACAAGCGCCTATGTGTTTCCTGTGTAACTTGGGAAGACCCACTTGATTTCCCTGAATCTCATTCCGTCTTTTACAATAGGAGTAATTCAGACTATGTGTACATCTATGTAACAGAGATTTAGGTATAGGTAGAGGTTCAATAAATGCTTATTATTAAACATTGTGTCAAACCTGTTAACCAAACATTCTGATGTGCCAACTCTTTGGGAGTAGTAGGCCAGGATGCAAGATCTGCAACACAATAAGACCCGCATTTCTACAGCTCCCATTCTCTTAGAATCAAAATTTTAATGCACTCTTACAAGCTTTTGCTGCACACCAAGTACTAAGTATACTTCTGATATTGTCTTGTTAGTCCCTACAGAAACTATATGAGTTAGACTTTATTCCATTTTAAATTGACACCAAGAAGCACAGTAAATTGTCCAGATAACCCACCTGGTAGGTAGTAGGGCTAGAATTTAAACCTGGGCTGTCTAAAGAAAGTCTATCTACACTCACTGACTGCTCTTTTGGTTCTTTTGTAGTCTGCTAAAATACTACTCTAAAATCAACCTCAATTTTAGACCAATTTCAAGGCCAATTTTGCAACTATAGATGGTGCCTAAAGAGGAATAGAAATGTAAGTAAGCTCCGGGGCCTCCCCGGTGGTGCAAGGGGTTCAAGGATAGCGCTATGAAGGAATCTGCAGCCACTGCAGCATGAGCTTGATCCCTAGCCGGGGAGGTGACCTCTCAGCAAACCTCTCCTGTCTTGACTGCTTCTACCCTTAGCAGTGTGTTTTGGCCAATCTGCCTGTTCTGTTCTCTACTGTCTCTGGTGACTCCTCCCACCCCATGCACCTCTGGCCTGTACCTCAGTTTTTGAGTGCATACATAAATAAATCTTTTTTTTTAAAAAATGTAAGCTCCAGAAGGCTCCCTTTTTTTACTTTCCCTCCCTTTTTTATCATCAAAAGACGCTTTTGCAATGGCACTGCCAGTTTAGCATGATAACCTATTGCCATCAGTCAAGAATCTTTGCAGTAAATTATCACCAAAGGGTCACTTTGGTAATGCCAATCCCTTTCTTTTGGCTCCAGAAGAAGAAAAAAAAATGGACTTTATTCTTAATGCTGCAATTGGACATGGACAACATGAACTGACATTTTTTTCAGCACTGAACATAGAATCTTTACATACTACATCTCATCTAACATATACCCCCTATGCAAACATACATGTGGTTGCTCCATCTAGGAGGGGAGAAATCAAGGTATAGAGAGACCAACTTACTTGTTAAAGGTCATCGAATTGAGAAAAGCAGCATTCACACTTTTAAGAGCTTTTGATTTAAAACAGTTTTCCACATTAGATATCATGATCAAAACCTATTATGATAATCTTAGAAGTCACAAAAGCAAAGATGAATTTTGCAACTCATTACCTATGTAGTTGGGATAAATTTCTTAATCTCTCTGAGACTCAAGTCCCTATCTATCGACGGTGTTAATAAGACTTCTGAGAGATAGTTACTGGAAGGACTAGGTACAAGTGTCTGTAAAAGCACCTAGTACAGTACCTGGCACATATTAAGTGCCCAACAACAATTCTTGATGTCATGTGCCCAAGATACATAAGAGGTAGCTGGAATTGAATATATATTACTTTAGGGATGATTTTGCCTTACGTCTTCCATGTACTTACTTTCTCTTTGTGTTCTGCAAAGCTTTGCTCAGCTTGACTGCCAATTTATGAAGTCCTTTGGCATAGCTATTCTCCAAGTTTGCCCTGTTTACAAAGGGATAGCTGTTAAAAGGGTGCACTGGCCAAAATCAGGCAATATCCCCTCCCCACGCCCCTTCCAACCTCCCTGACACATTCACAAAGGCAGGCTCAGGCTGAAAATGTAAAACCTGAATAAGGAAGAGATGATTTTTTTTACTAGAAGAATCCTCTTAGGAGTAATATTTAAAAACAAAAACAAAACAAAACAACAAATCCTAAAACTCCTAGTGTCTATGAATATACACGTGCATTTTTTGAAAATAAGGTTTTTTTTCAGATGACCATGTGATAAGGGAGAGGTGTTTAGGGTGGATCTGAAACCAACATGGATATATCCTTATAAAACAAGGAAATCTAGACACAGAGGAAACACACACACACACACACAGGGTGAGGCCGTGTGAAGATGAAGACAGAGGTGGGTGATGGGTCTACAATGAAATGTCAGAGAGTGCAATCAAACTACTATAAGCTAGGAATGGGACATAGAACAATGTTACTATCCCAGAACTCAGAAAGCTCCAACTTGGCTCCTTCTTTATCTCATACTTTTAGCCTTCAGAATTATGAGACAATAATTTTCTATTTTTTTTAAAGATTTATTTATTTATTTGTACAGAACTGGGTTACAGGCCAGAGATGTGGAGGGTGAGAGAATTCACCAGAGACAGAGTGGGGAGCAGAACAGGCAGATCAATGAAGTACACTGCTGTGGGGAGCAGCGGGCGGGCCAGGAGAGGTCTGCCACGCCATGTGGTCACCTCCGGGGCAGGCGGGACTCGAATTCATGCAGAAGTGGCTTTAGCTTCTTTGTGCTGTGCTTTAACCCGCTGCGCCACCAGGGAGGGCCTATAATTTTCTATTTTTTAAACCAACCAGACATATGTTTTTATAGCAGTCCTAATGAATGAATACAACTAATAATGAACACAAAACTTTCCTACTTATCCTGGGACACTACACTTTCAGGTTGGCTTTAGATTATGATAATTGGCAAAAAAATAATGGTATGTTAAGATGCAGTTAACTGAAGAGTAACTTTCTAACGTGAAGTTGTAGCCAATGCCAACATCAAATTTGAAAAATAAATTTCTATTACCTTCCGTGTAAGACAAGACACAGCGAGGACTCTCAGAATGCCCTCTACTAGCAAACGTGGTTCTTTGGACAGATTTGCTCACATTCATCTTAAATTGGCTTAGCCATGTCATTACAGTTGTATTAATATCCTAGAATTTATCACTATCTTACTTTTTTTTTAGTGCACTTCTATGACACCACTAGAATGCAAGCTCCATGAGAGCTAAGAAATTTTTTGTTCATTATTATGTTCCTTGGCCTAGAACAGTGGCTGGCACCTAATAGCCACACAGTATATATGTCTTGAATGAATGAATAATGAATGAACTTCCCATTGGTTCTCAGAATTCTTTTTTCTTTACTGTATTAACATTGGCTTACAGCATTATATATGGCTTAGAAGTACAGAATTTTTAACTAGTCTCTGCTATAACTCTGCTCTCACTTCACCACTTTGGAAAACTACTGCTGAGCAATTTTAAATGCATTTTACCAGTTTGAATTATGCCTGATGCCAGAGTACATAGCTTGCTTTCACTTGGAATAAATAGACACAAGAACCCTTCCCTAGTACATTGCTAATCAGAGAGCTTTCTTTAGGAACTTTCTTTCTAGCATTCCATTCTTTCTTGAATGAAACAAATAGAGTATTAAATTTAGTGAAGCATCCTAGCACTCAAGTCTGGGTGGTAATCAACTAAGTTATGAACAGATCTTAATTTTTCAAATTTATGGATTATTATATATTGAAAAGAATCTCTAAACATTCAATATGCCCCAAATATACAGGGGTCGGAGAAATGTGGGGGAAGAATCCATCGCTTTCTATCTATCCATCTATCAGCTCCAGAACATTCCCAAATTATCTCTAACAGGAAAGGTGATGATGTCAGTTCAGCCTCTCCCTTGTAATTCAGTTTCTTTTAGAATGTTCTTTTAGGCCCTACAAGGTATCTCAAAGGCTAATCAGAAATAAAATAGAGAGTTACTAAAGAGAATTGTTGCTTTCCTTTAAATTAACTTCAATGAATCCTCGTGGAAAAAAATAATGGAGACCAGAAAGGGAGAAGAGCCTGGTTGCTTTGAGGTGATGGCCTCTCTGTTTTGCTCCTGGTCATTGAGTCCAACTGTTTCTGTTGGCTTTTTGTGGGCATGACAGGCTTAAGAGATTCAATCGCCACAAAAACACTTCTTATTTTGGCAGGCTTCTCTTTATATACAGTTATCTTAGAAATCTGCAGCAGGAAAGATTCAAAGTTTTACAGGCTAAAAAATTCTTTCATCTTTCTGTGAAGTTCATTCCAAAGTGTGCCCTCTTGACAAATGTAACAGGAGACTCGACCTGTGTTTGGCTTCCACAAAAAATCGTGACATCCAATAATGACTGGGCACTTGTAACATGTTAGACACCATCCTAAGTGGTGTCTATTTCCTTATGAATCCCCATAACTCCCATGTGGTAGGCACCTTTCTCTATCCATCTCATGAAGGGACACACAAGACACTGTTTAGTCAGTAACTTGCCAGAGGTCAAGTTTGAGGAAGTGACAGATGAGGTTTGAGTCCAGGCAGTCTGGTTCTAGAACATACCTCCCATTTTCTGTCTCTGAAGTTGTGGGAAAAGGCTGAAGGTGAGGAATTGAGGGGGATGTCAAATATAAGCACTTTAAAACCTGATGCCACTTTTCACTTAGCCTTTAATTGCAGTGCTCTTAGTCACCACAGCTCCTGACCACTCAGGGGCCCAGAATCCAAAGCAGCCTCCTTGCGGACAGAATGAGCTTCTCAGCATCTCTTCTAAAAACACTTGTGTGTTTGTAAAGCCTTTTCTCTTATGAGGAGGAGGTGTAAAGGATGGGGAAAGTGGCCAGGAATGGAGCGGAGATAGCGAACGTCACCAGAGTAGCCTGGAGAGGCTGGGCTGCATTGGACATGGCTTCTGTGAACTGGCCTGTGTGTCCTTCATCTTACTAATTATTAGAAGTCCAGAAAGGTTTTATTTTACTATTTTAGGTTTGGTGACCTGGTTCTTTTTATTTATTTATTGATATAACAATGCATTTTAACACTGTGTAAGTTCAGGGTGTGTAACTTTCCAAATTTAATGTCTGTATACACTAAATTCACCCCTAATAGCCTTTGTCCTTCATTGTGAAACTGACCTTTTTTTTTTTCCTCTCAATTTACCTCTCTCTTCCCTTTTGGTAACCACTAATTTTGTCATGGAGTGTAAAAGTTTATTTTTCTTTTATTTAGTTCATTTGTTTCTTTACTTAACCACAAGTGAAATCATACAGTGTCATTCTCCATCTGACTTATGATCATGATTTATATATACATATATAATTTCAGAATGCCTGCCGAATGTTTTGCCAAGGCAGAGGTGGCAATGCATGGAACTCTGCTTATAGTGGCTTCTTCTCAATCCATTGAAGAGAGCTGCTGTATCAGGGTTTCTGTCTAAAAGGCCTCACAAATAAAGTCAACAGAGGCAGAACAAATCTCAAATTGAGTCACAGGATTCCATTTCTCATGAAAATGATCAGTAAATGCTTGTGAGAATATTGTGCTTCGTGCCCTCGCTTACAACTTTGATGTTTAATAGGAGTTGGGGTTCCCTCACCAAGCAATTGTCTTTACTATAATTAATGGATAAGTCAATCTCAGAATATTATACTGAGACTTAAAGACACTAGGCCAGAGAATAGCTTGCACTGACTTGCAATCCATTTATATTCAGCATGTAGAGATAAGTCAATAAATATTCATTAGTAACACAGTCAAGAGCAACCGATTCGTCAAAGGCCAAATTTGTCTCAGATTTTTAAATAAATTATATTTTTGAAGGAAAGGAGAGAATGGAAAACATGTGATATCAGATATAATATTTGGATTGAGTGTAAATTAAACTCTAAGAGTGCAAAATTATATAATCTATTTTATAGAATTCTATGAAGTTAAAACATAAAAAGTGGTATAATGTGAAAACTACAGCTGATCTCTGTGTCTATGAGGCATTAATTAAAATTGAAATAAAGGTTTCTCACATCTGGAGGAAATCACTGGCATTCATTATGAATTGAGGAAATTTAATAATCTGAAAATCTCTGTGACATCACCACCCCATCTCTCCCATCTTATTTTCTACCAGCAACAGCTTTCAGTTTGAGGCCTGGTCTGCTGACATTTTCTACTCATTTATTAGTTTGCCTTTTGAAAGAGAGTCACAAGATCATCATACAAATAGGCTACATTTAAAAGTTGATTATTAGCAATTCAAAGAAACTTTTACATGGAAGCTTGTTATCTGTGTTCTTTGGCTGGCTCACAATATCCACGTGATGGTTATTAATTCTAGTTGCCTTAATTCTGGTTCCTGAGAACAACATAAAAGAAGGTCAACTAAGATGATGAGACCCGGAAAACACTCTTCTGAGACCCCAGCTCTCAGGGGTCTCACTTGACCCCTGCTCACTTTTGGCCCAGCAACTGAGGCACAGCAATGGCAGCTTTGGGACTTCAGAGCCTCTGCATCTGTTAATTCCACAACAGAGTGAGTTTATGGGGCTGAAGTTAGTGTTGTGGTGGTGGTGGTCAGGTAAAATGGATAAGAATGGTGGTTTTCAAAACTTTTTAGCTGGAAAACAAAATTTTGTAGTTTGTCCCTCTGTATCACATAGATATCAGGGAAGTTGTTCTGATGAAGTGAGTGGCAATGAGGAGGCATTCAAGTCCTACCTATCTGGATCCTCACCCTTGAAGAGGTCCCTAAGGACTCACCACAGACCCCTGTGCTACCAGGTTTGATGAGCACTGGTGTCCTTTCCCTTAGAAGGCTCTAAGACTGGAAAGGAAGTTGGACCAGAACCCCAGAGCATACTGGGTCTCCCAGAGGAGTGCCCCAACTGTCTAGATAGTCCACT